AACCCCGTAAGGTTCTATGAAGACACGCGTGGTAGGTATGTGCGTAATTTATAAACATTTAGAAATTAAAGAAATCTAAACTTTAATTCAAATCTCAGCTTTTAGTATCAAATAATTAACATGTTCTATTTTAATTATTAAACTTGATCATACATATGGAGAGATTCTCAAGTCCTGAAATACATGATGAGATATTGCAATAACCAGGTCTGAATATATAAAGCTAAAACTCAGTTTACCTGTCACATGAGAATATAGATAATATTGAAACAGATGAAGCTCTTAAAAAACTACTTTAATCTATAAGTTGCTCATTTGACTAGAATAGGTTTTCTATGATCTATTAAGATAAGAATCTCGAAAAAGAGTTCCTAGCCTCTTATCACTAGAAAATAATATAGTTTGGACTTATCTACACAATTGAAGCAATTGTTGTATTTGCAGAGTATTTCATCTTTTAAACTGCAAAATTTATCTTACTCTAATACAATTATCCTGCATTTAAGTGGGCTGCTTTAGCAGTCTCAGTGTTTTACTTCGTGACAATATCCATATATCTTTTGGCAAAGAAATTTATTTGGATTGCTATTTACTTTACTCATATTCAGAGTATCGTTGTTTATGTATCAATAATTGAATCAGCAATTTTAGGAAATCCCTTATAGGCTCAAGTAGATGGATTTATTGTTATTTCTGCAACACTAGTATCAGTTGCCTTTATAAGTTATGATCAAAGATCAATTTTGCTTGCCTATATTTTCATCTTCGCTTATAGCATGTGGAGGACATACGACTGGATAGCGGATCCCTTTAGATATGCAAGATTTAATATTTTTTTAATCACCACACTTGGAATCGTATACATTTTTTCACGAGCGACTCATTTAAGAGAGAGGGAGAAGTTTGAACAAGCAAAAAAACAAAAACAATTGCTGAAATTATTTCATAATTTAATAAGAGTCTATCATGATGGAATATTGATAACAAAACAAGAGGAAATAGTATATAGCAATAAGGCTATGAGATAAATTTTTAACATTAAGAAAGATGCTATTCAGAATTTGCAAAGCCTTCCTGATATGTTACCTTAAAACTCTTTGATCCCTGATTTCAGCAGCTAGTAGGCTGGAGAATAAGATTTATTAATTGAAGAGAGATAATTCATTTAGAACTTTAAGAAGACAATTCCTAAAATTTCTTAGAATCAAATGAGTAACACATTCACTGATGCTGATAATGAAAATGGAAAATGGTTTACTGATATATGGGATTACATATAATAGCATTAAAAGCATTTGAATCCAATATTTTTCAACTAAGAGTACTTAATAAATCCCCTTGATGGACTATACTTTAAGTTCAAGTATTCTGATAATTATGAGAGCAATTAATAAGTCATTAAATTCAAGATTCTATAAGTATTTACTCAAACAATAAGACTAGGATAGAAAATGTTTGTAATGACAACTATTAGAGACTAATCAAACTGGTTAGAAATTGAGAAATAAAAGAATTTATCTTAACTTAAGACTATTGCTTTTGCTTAGGCAGCTCATGAATTCAGAAATCCCTTAAATGCAATTAATTCTTCACTATAGCTGCTAGATGCCGCGGTAATTGATATCCCTGCTCGCCAATATCTTATTACTGCAAAAAATAGTTCTAAGCTAATGCTCTATCTAATCAATGATATTTTGGATTTTTCGCAATTAGAGTCGAAGAGTCTTGTGCTTAATTATGAGGATGTCAATATTTGCTCATTAATTAAAAATTGCTTCTCTATTCTAGAATTGAAAGCATAAGTGAAGGAGCTAGAATTATCCAAAATCATTGACCCAATGTTTCCCAAAAAAATCAATACTGATCCAAATAGACTATCTCAAATCCTTATTAATCTTCTATCGAATTCAATAAAATACACCAATGAGGGATATGTTAAGATATTTGCTAAGTTAGATTAACCAAACAATTAGGTTAATTTTATCATTAAAGACTCTGGTGTTGGGATGGATAAGCAGCAACTCTCTAAATTATTCACTGCGTTTACAAAAATTATGTCCAATAGAGATATGAATAAAGATGGAGTTGGATTAGGTCTAACTATTAGCAAAAATCTTGCCTAGGCTCTAGGTGGTGATATTAAAGTATAATCTGAGATTAATAAAGGATCAGAATTCATGTTGATTCTTCCAATTAAATTAGAAGACTAGGTGATGATGATTGATAATGCTGTTGATCAAAATTAAGATAATTCATAAGAAAGCGTTTAATCATTGAGTATTGATTTAGAATTTGATGATGATCAAGATAGTTTATGTATTTAACCAGTCAATCTTTTGCAGGACTAGTTGAATAGAGGGATAAAAGATAAAATCCTTTAAACTCAGTCAATATAGGAGTTGAATTTACTATTAAGAGATGATAGAATTTTTGATGAAAATTAAATTGCTAGAAATAACTTCTAGCGAAGGAAAAAAAAAAGTTTAGTCATTAACAGGTAAAGAAGAAATTCAAGATCAAGGCAGGGTAGTAACTAAAATTTCTCTTTTTCTCGGTTTTAAGACAATATAGATATTGAATCTCCTTATATATTTTCACCAACAAGATGCTAATGTTCAAAAATATTGCTAGTAGACGATGAACCATTTAATCTTATAGCACTATAAGGTTTACTAAATCAGTATCACATCGATAAAGTCGATAAATGCTACAACGGCAAGTAAGCAGTTGAAAAAATCAAAGTTAATTTTGAAAAATAATGTGTTGGCCATTAATCATATGAACTAGTCATAATAGATAATTAGATGCCAGTAATGAATGGCATAGATGCTTGTAAAGAGATTAGAATTATGTAATAAAAGGAGGTGATGTCCCGATAAACAAGAATAGTGCTTTTGACAGGAGATGAATCTATGCTTACAAAAGATGAATATATCAATCTTTTCGATGATGTGATTTTAAAACCTATTGATTCAAACATATTAGGAATTTTACTAATGTAGACTAGTTCACAAAATTGAGCAAAATCTTACAAAATTATTACCTGATATAACTCTTAATTTCATAATTTCATCATCTTTGATGCAAAAAATTAAAACAATTTAGAATTTATATTTATTTTTTATTACAATCAGATTGAAGATATCAGTTTTAGGGGTTTTGGGGTTTTGGGGTTTTGGGG